ATTATATCTATTTTATTGTAAACTTAAAATAAGTCTAGAAGAAATAAATATATTTATTTTAATAGGAAGGATTAATTAACAAAAATGCATAACTTGAAACAAAGCTGCAATTGCAATTTTAGAGGTGATTTCTATTATCTTTTAAAAACTGCTTTGATATTTATTAATTTTTTAAAATCTTTTATTTGTTATGTATTAAAAATTTACTCTTATAGTTTACTCTTATAATTTACTCTTATAGTTTTTATAAATATCCTTCAAGTTTTTAAATGTCTTATAATTTCTTAGATACATCTAAAAAAATTACATAAATATGCAATTTCTAAACTTGAGTTTTTGAAATTAATTTTAATCAATCTTGTAGAAATTTCCATAGATTTTATCTAGCAGACAAAATAAGACAAGATTTTGAATCGTCTGGTGATTAATTATATTCCGCTTTATCTTTCTCTATTCGATCGTTATCTCGATGCGTTCATGCTAGCAATTATGAAATCGATTTGCGATTACCACTACGCTGCCCTATTACTAATAGCATAATTAAACGTCTGAGATAAGATCGATGTGGTGTTATTAATCACGAAAGACGTAGCATAGAAAGTCACGTTGGTGTTAAGCGCAACACATTAGCCGTGCGATTATCGCGATAAAGTTCTGTGTGCGCTTAACGCTCGAGAGGGTCATGCTGCCAGGACGAGCTGTAAAAATTCGACTTAGAAACTATGTAAAGTATGATAGTTATTTATAACTGTTACGTTACGATTCAGGAGTATTCAATTTATGAATGCGCTTGTAAGATGTATAATGCATTTCGCATGCGGCTGTCAACAGCGATCGATCCTTCGCTCACGATTCGTCTATCTTGCAAGGCTGCTCCTGCAGACATTGCAATTTCTGAAAGATATGACAGTTTTGCTCTGAATATTCTTGCACAAGGCGAGCTCAAAAAAAGAAGTTCTATTAATCTTTAACAGTTTACTACAGTTTGAATAATATAATGTGAATAAAAAAATGCGGGCATGATAATTATTATTCATATGTTACGACTGCATTTCAAATAGATATTTATCGCATGTTTTATCTTTATGAAGACTCATGTGAGTCTCTATTCACACGTATTTCTTAAATGTTATATGTTTAAAATCAGGTTGAAGGGAATTGTTAATTGCAATTAAAAATCAGTTTGCAGAAACAATAATAATTTATTCTTGTTTCTACATGATTTAACTATGGTTTTAATATAAGAATGTTTTTTTATTTACATTTTTTACATTGGGCGCTTTTGAAACTTATCAAATGTAGTTAAATGACATCAATTTTAAAAATTTACAAAACTTTTGAATATACACATGTTAATTTCTGTTATAAATGAAAAATCATTTTTGAGCCCAAGAATAATTCCAGTTACAGTGGCTTAAGTTGCGCGTTTGTGTTAATATGTAAATTTAAATATGTACAATATTTACAATATATGTACATATATTATTATTAATGAAATAAACATGCCATTTTGATATCAGCAAAGTGTCTTGTTTCGGCTCTGCGCACTGTTTGCTTTCTTCTATCTTCATGTTCTACATTTAATGGAATGTGTTGTTCTTGTTATTGTTGTCTTGTTATTGTTGTTATTATATATCCTCCTTGTTGTGTTATTGTTTGCTTCACACCCTGGTTTCCTCTCGTATCGATTATTTCCGCTCGTATCTGTTTCTCATCCGTCGCATGTTTCTCTCTTTGCACGCGTTCTTTTTTCGTCCTTTTTCCCCCTACGCCCTCATCTCTCAGTCTCTCTTCGTTCTTCCGTCTCCACAGGAAGTTGTCCAAAACTTTTTTCCGACCCCCTCGTCCTCGGAAGATTCACGAGCGTTTTGCTCTTGAGGATCATTCGAAATCGATTATCAGTCCATTAGCCGCAAAGGTCCATTCCAATCCGTAGATCATCAAAGATTCTAGAAATTGCAATGTAAATTCACTTCGCATCATCGACATGTTTGACTTGATTGTGGCGTCGATGATCATTTTTCTTTTCCGAGAAGGACGAGGAATGAAGGGAATGAAAGAAAGAGAGAGGAGAGGGGGAGGGATTACTATTGTAATTGCTTAGTCTGAATTTAGAGATTTAGAAACTAGAGAGCAATTGTGTGAGGGATAAGAGGGGCGAGATGCAAGTGTGAGCGAGAAAGTGCGAGATGTAAGAGTTGAAAGAAAGCGAGAGTGAGGAAGAGAGAGAGAGAGAGAGAGAGAGAGAGAGAGAGAGAGAGAGAGAGAGAGAGAGAGAGAGAGAGAGAGAGAGAGAGAGAGAGAGAGAGAGAGAGAGAGAGAGAGAGAGAGAGAGAGAGAGAGAGGGAAAGAAAGAGGGAAAGAATGATAAAGAGAGAGAAAGGGAGGGAGAGAATGAAGGCGAGATGAGGGGAGCGAGAAATATGAGAAGGGAGGACGACAGAAGGAAAAAATTCAAACATGCCGAAATGCCACTTGTTCCAGGACCTAAAGAAGCGCGATTCCCACATCTGCGACATGCAGGCCTTACAGCCACTTCCGGCCCCCACCAACACCGCCAACACCGCGCCCGCCATGACTACTTCCGGTGGGCAGCCACCGCTCCCGGTATCGGAGACCGTTTGAATCACGACGATTACGAGAACCGATCACGATCGTCCGTGTGCGCGATGCGCTAACCACGCATTACCACACCACCACTCACCTCTAAACTCACCGCCGTCCTCCTCCACACCTGTACTCGCTGAACCCGATGAACGAACCACGGCCGACCACGGTCGAAGCAACGGTGAGCCATCATCAATCATGATCTTTAAAGGGCGCCGCGCGAATCACCGGAAGTAGTCGTGGATGCCATTAGCCCATGTTACGCGATTTTTTTATTGTTCTGTTTCGGAGGTCCCGCAAGTGACTTTCTCAAAAAAGTGTCGCGCGTTGATAGTTTATTCATATAGAATTTGCATTTTTGTGTACTGTTTATTGAAAAGTAATTTTCTAAATGTAGTTGAAATCCCTTGGATTGATTAAATTAACGTAATAGAGCAAAATGTGTTTGTAAATGTTTTTCTAACGCGAAGATATATGTAACGTGAAAAAGTGAAATTTAATGTTGTTCCTAAAATCTCGGGAATTTATTTAGAATTAATGAGTAATTTTTCAAATTTTGAATATTATTTTGAAAAATTTTACTCTATAAAGAAATTTGTTTCATAGAGAATTTCTAGAAGATAATGTTACTTTCGTTTCATGTATATGTATAGAGCTTTAGAAATCAAAATTAGTCTGTTTCAAATCCCTCGGGTTATATTGATATTTGCTAGTGCAACTTTATGTAAATTACATGCATCGTGATTGCAGGTATATCGTTGACTTTACACGCCATTGGTTTTGTTCATAGAATTTATTCGCATTTACTTCCGGCGATTCACACTATTACCCTCGAGTATTAACCAATTTCTATAATTTGAAAAATTTTATGATTGAGAAATGATGATTGAGAATTAATGAAATCTCTTCAATTCTACAATTAGAATTGGAGTTGATCTGTATATTTAAAAAAATGGCTTTTTTGCTGAATAAAGATTTTTAAATTTTTAAAAATTATATTTTGTTTCAATTTTGATGTGAGATCTCTAATTATCAAGCTACAGATATTTTCAAATATTTAAAAGAATATTAGAAATATATTTGATGTAAAGTTTCGAATTTTTCTTTATTCTTAATATTTTTTTTTTTTTTTATTTAGAAGTAGCCTCTTTGTTTCTTTTTTTTTTGTTAAAATATCGCGGAGATCATGCTGAAGAGCAAACCAATCGAATCGTTTGGAGGGGAATTGACGATTGAGGCTAGTCAAGAGGAAGGGTGATTTATGATCGGCCAGTGGACGTAAGACAATTTTCCGAGATTACGTTCGCTTCGTTTGCCACCTTGAAATACGGCATGAAGCCGAGAGCGGCCGTTCGCGATTCGGGGCTGCCGGATGAGTCCTGAGTGCAGGCAATTTTTCTGGATTTGCGTCGGCTTTCCCTGACGCGGCCTAGTTTCGTCGTGGAAGCTCGCTGAATCGAGCTACGACAAAGCAATCTTTTCCGGTGAACCACGCACGAGTTCCCAATAATACGTATTCTAATATAAATGAACTGGATAATTGAGAAAGTATACGTGTTCAGAATTCGGTAAAATAGGAATTTATATATAAATTTTGTATTCTTCTCACGAAAAAGATTTATTTTAAAGTAAATATATATATATATATATATATATATATATATATATATATTATTTATTTCTT